AGCTTTCTGGTCTCACATGGCATGCCATACAGAATTCAGACATGCTACAACCCTCGGAAAGTGTCAAGTAAGAAAAACCTGAGAGGCAAGCAATGTGACATTTGAGAGCTTACCAATATTCTGCAGCAACAACTCTAGGAAACCACATAAACTAGGAACAGTGGTGAAAACAATAATAAGGAAAACTAGGTTTGAATATTAGTATCACAGATTTTTATCTTTTTAGCTAGCTCTTTCTCCTGCCTTCTGGAATTGGGGAAAAATTGATACATATATAAAAATGGGAAAATTGAAGACAAATAGTGATTGAATTTATTTATGACTGCTTCTAAATTTCAGCAACACCAAAGCAAACAGAAAGTCTAAAATGATCCCACCACAGCTAACTCCTGTTCCGGATTCCCTTCAGAACTCCATGGAAGAGACTAACTTCAAGAAATATTATGTAACAGAAGTTTTCCTTTACCCAGCAGCTTTTCATTTGAAGTGCTTTAATTTTGGTCATGCTTATGTGTTTCTGGACACTAGATTCTCCTTCATAATCCAGTTTTGTATTTGCAACTTCCCAATAGAACCTCCCATGTCACAGCTATAATCAACAGTCCAATTTTTCTTAGAAACACATATTCAAAACTACATGTACAGACAAGATGCAAATGTAAAACAATGTATAATTAGAAGATGAATTTATCAGGTAGCACCTGAGACTAGATGATGATATAACAGTGTGAGTAGCTTTCAATGGTTCTATTTACCAAATTCTTACAGTTCCAGCCTAAAAGCACCCAGTAGGCAATCAAGAGTCCAAGGAATTCCCTAGCTACATAGCAAGGTTTTGTCTCAAAGTTATTATTTTAATTATTATTTGGTCTTATTTATTATTATTTCTTTTAATTATTTTTAGTTATGAATGTGTATGTATCTTTGTGGGGTGAGCACAAGTTTCTGCAGAAGCTAGAGCCACCAGATTTTCTAGAGCTGGAATAATAGGCAGCTGTGTACTGCCTCAGGTATGTCCTGGGAACTGAACTCTTAAGTGCTAGGCCATCTCTACCACCCTCAAAAGTATTTTTCTACAATGAATCATTGCTAACATATGAAACAGGGAAAATATTTTAAAAAATGTAGTTACATATTTTCTTATTTTCCTTCTTTTTGGACATGACTACAATAAAATGTATCTGTAGGTTTCTTTCAGATTGTAGACTTTGAAAAGTCAAACAGAGTTCATTGAGGTTGGGAACAAAAAGAGACCTAGGGTCTGAATGGCTCACACACTTGGAGTAGAACAAGTTAAGTTATGTAGGCTTAGTTTTTTTGACCAAACCTACTTTATTTGGGGCTGTTAAGCACCTTTATCTCCCTTCCACCCCACCCCCAACCCTAAATCCTTAGGTAGGAGATTAATAGAGAAAAGGGCTGTAGACCTTTCTTATCTACTTTTTGCTGATTAAGGTCAATGGGTCTTTAAGGGATTACCAAACTCAGTTGTTAGCAGTCCAGGCCAAAGGCCAACACCAAGCAGCAACACAAAGTCAGCAAAAGTCACAAGACTCAGTTGGATTGCCCACAGAAGCTCTACAGAACATTTTTGTCTGCGAAGTCAAGTGTTGAAGCACAAAGATCAGTGCATCAATGTCGATCCAAAGAGTGATGTCTTACTCTGTATATGTACTCCCCTCAAAGTCCACCCACAGATGTTGGCCAAAGTCATGCCCCTCACATAAGAGAACAAAATATCAGATACCCTCACACAAGCCAACCTATGGTGAAACATCACATGCCAGCTTGCAGCAAGATATCACATGATGAACTGAGCCCAGAAACTTCCACTTCAAAGTGGCAAGTGCATTGACTCTGGATCCCAGGCCAAGAGGAATGGCTTCATTCATATTATGCAACAGAACTCAGATATAACATGGTAGAAAATACAGGCAATGTCAACTCTGGATTTGAACTACTCAGGATGGATTTCCATCTTTGTGACAAACCAGATCCTGTGCAATTTGCCCAATATCTCTGTGCTTTGGGTTTCCTTGAAGTGTTGTTCTGAAATGATTAACTGCACAAACAGCAGACCATTGAACAGAGCCCAGGTGCCTCAATGTTGGTTGCTGCCATTTTGTACTGTTCATCTGGTCAAGCATTCCTTAACACGTACAGGTGTGACCCCCTGACACAGACCCCATGGAGGGAGAATTGCAGAAGAAGAGGAGGTGGCAGTGATGAAAGGGTTAAAATGTAAATGCCTCATATTAATTGTTCCCTGAGTTCTTAGAGCACATTGTACCTTAGAGCACCATGTACCTTGTACATTGTTTTGAGGTTTAGGAAGAAATTCTTTCCAGCAGCCCTTCTCTGCTACACAATGACTGTTTCTGAAGCAAGAAACACTCTCTCCTGTGCAGACTTTGTAGGCTGACTGCCCACTTTCCTACTTTGCTAAAGGCAGAGAGTAGGAGGACAGGGGTATGCGTGGGCATGCTTGAACACTAAAGAATAAACGGAGCAACCTCAAATGGCATTCACTTTTTTTTGTTTTCTTTCTCTTGCTTTGAAATCAAATTTCTCACTGGCCTGGAACTCACCAAGCCATCTAAGGTGGATTGGTGCACAAACCTCAGGGATCTGCTTGACTTTTTGCTTCCCAGTTCTTAGATTACAAGCATGTGCTCTGCTGGGCTGCTTATATGTGGGTGATGGGTATGAAACTCATGTCTTCATGTTTACAAGGGAAATCATTTTCCCCTGGAGCCATCTCTCCACCCCATGTATTTCAGCTTTTAGTAGCTTGTAGAGACATATCATTAACAGTATTTGAAGGCCAGAATACTTCCTAGTTCAAAAGAATATTAGCTGGGCAAAAGAGACAAAGAAAGCAAAACCTTAGCTTGTTTCAGTGTATTGATGTTGTGAGAGCTTGAAAGAGGTGCTGGCAGTTACATTTGTTGTCCACTTTCTTTTTTGTTTGTGTTTCAAGACAGGGTTTCTCTGTGTAGCCCTGGATGTCTTGGACTTACTTTACTTTGAAGACCAGGCCGGCCTCAAACTCACAGAGATACTCCTGCCTCTGCTTTCCCAAATGGGATTACAGGCTTCCACTTTCATTCTTCTTTAAAATTCTTATTTTTAATTTATTTGTTCACTTTACATCCTGGTTGTAGCCCCCCCTTCCTCCTTCCCTCCCAGTCCCATACTCCCTCCCTTATCCACCCTTCCCTATTCCTCAGTATAAGGGAGCCCCACTACCCACACATCCCAGCTCGTATATTCACATGAGAACTGAGGTCATCCTCTTTCCCTGTGGCTGGGTAAGAAAGTGGAGCTCTTGTCACCTCTAAGTCCTTTTTCCCCCCACCCCAACTTTTCCACTAGACTCTCCATGCTTTGCCCAGTGTTGGGTTGGGAGTCTCAGCATCTGTATCAAACTGTTGCTGGCTGGAGCCTCTCAGAGGACAACTCTGATAGGCTCCCGACTGCAAGCATAGCTCTCTTCCAAGGAGTAAGTCATGGGTTGGGCCCGGCATTGGTTGGACATTCCCTTAATCTCTGCTCTAGCTGTTCTATCTTTGTCCCTGCAGGTCTTGTAGGTGGGGGTAAATTTTGGATTGAAGTTTTTGTGGGCGGGTTGGTATTCTCCTCCCTCCACTAGGAGTCTTGTCTAGTTAGAGGGTGTCCTCTTCAGTCTCCATGGGCCCTGCTACTAAGAGTCTCAGCTATAGTGCCCCTTGTATACAGTTTCATTTATTTTATTTTATTTTTCCAGTTTCATTTTTAATGTGCAGGAAAAAAAATGCACTTAAAACTCCATTGCATAGGGTATAAGAGATGGCTCAGAGATTAAGAATACTGATTGTTCTTCCAGAGCAGGTCCTGGATTTGATTCCCAGCACCCAGTTCCAGGGGATCCTATACCCTCTCTGACACCAAAGACTGAGCACACACATAGTCCGCAGATGTACATGCAGGCAACCTACTCACACATATAAAATGAATAAATACAGAAAACCCCTTTATTTCTTGAAGTAGTGGTGAGAGCATTTGCTGCACTTGTAGATCTAAGTTTAGCTCTGAGTACCTATTTGGAGAGACACAAACCTGCTTATAAATCCAATTCAAGGAGACGTGGTGACCTCTCTGGCCTCCATGGGAACCTGCATTTATATGCACATAACACCCCCATACTGATGATTAAAAATAATAAAATACAGATTAAAAAATCCATCTTCTATCTTTCGGAAAATCTCTAATCTTGAACATTTTCATGTAGAGTGTATGTGTGCGTGTGTATGTGCGTGCGTGTGTGTGTGTGTGTGTGTGTGTGCATGAGAAAGGGGGGAATAATTATCTTTAAAATAGTGTTTGGAGTCTAACTCTTTCTTTTGTTAGATATTCTGCGGCCATTTCTTGCTCTGAAGACTAGATTTCCCAGCCAAATGTTGAGCGCATTCCTTTGGTTGGTTTTCCTACCAGAAACAAACAAATCGAAAAGGGTATAAACAAACGAAAATCAGAGTATGAAAACATAAAATATTTTATAAAGTATAGGATTTCTCTTTGAAGGCCTGATGAGACAATAAAGAATATCTATTAACCACGAGAACAATGCATAGATTGGTATTAGGTGAGGCTGGTCTTTGGATGGGAGTCACATAGTCTTTTTACAATACATTGTTATCTTCTGTCTTTGTTTTCTTTCCCCATGATACTTTCTCCAACCATTATCAATTTATAAAAGAATAATGATTCTTGTTCTTCTAGTTCCTGCTATCATATCTTTAGGAAGTTATCTTTTACCCCAAAGAGTACAGCGAGATCTTGTCTATCTTCCTTCCTTCCTTCCTTCCTTCCTTCCTTCCTTCCTTCCTTCCTTCCTTCCTTCCTTCCTCCCTCCCTCCCTCCCTCTCTCCCCCTCCCTTCCCCTCTCTCTCTCTTTCTTTCTTTTCTTTTTACAGACAGATTTTTATTTTAAACTCTGATCTACCAAGTTAGTTTCCTACCAACTCGGGGAGCAGAGGCCTTCATTGGCTTCACAATCTTTTCTTTAGGTGCTGCCTTTGTGGGGGCCTTGGCAGAAGTCATTGCTGTCTTCTTTGATGCCTGCCTAGCCTTTTTTGCTTCCTTGGCAGCCTTGAGAGCCTGCACTTGCTGAGCTTCTAACTTCTGGTTTCTGATTCATCTTGGCCGTTATATCAGCAAGAGATGCACCAGTGATGTCCCGCTGGAATTTGACTGTGGGGCGGGTTCTTTTCTTTTGAATTCCTTCCCACTGTCCATTCTTGTGTTTTTTTCTGTAGAGGACATTTCCGTTTATCTGCCAAGGATTCCTTTTGGAAAGAAATGCGGACTCGCATTTTGAATTAAGAAACTGGAAAACCTGTTTTCTTCTTCTTCTGATGTTCATCCTCTTTGCCTTTCAGGATAGGGATTGAGCATTTTAGTTAGGGTCCTCTCTTTTGCTTAGTTTGTTTAGATATACCGATTTTAGTGGGTTTATCCTATGTTGTATGTTTATATGAGTGAGTATATACCGTGTGTGTCTTTTTGCTTCTGGGACAACTCACTCAGGATGATCCTTTCCAGGTCCCACCATTTACCTGCAAATTTCATGATTTCCTTATTTTTCATTGCTGAGTAATATTCCATTGTATAGATGTACCACAATTTCTGCATCCATTCTTCAGTTGAGGGGCATCTGGGTTGTTTCCAGCTTCTGGCTATTACAAATAAAGCTGCTACAAATATGGTTGAGCAAATGAACCTGCTACAGAGGGCCTCTGAAAGCCAGAAGAAGAAAACAGGAAACAACCTAGGAACCTGCCACAGAGGGCCTCTGAAAGCCTCTGCCCTGCAGACTATCAAAGCAGATGCTGAGCCTGATGGCCAACTGTCAGGCAGAGTGAATGGAATTTTATGTAAGAAGCGGGAAATAGCAAGAGCTGAAGAAGACAGGAACTCCACAAGGAGAGCAACAGAACAAGAAAATTTGAACACAGGGAACTTCCCAGAAAATCATACTCCAACCAAGGACTATTCATGGAAATAACCTAGAACCCCTGCACAGATGTAGCCCATGGCAGTTCAGTTTCCAAGTGGGTTACATAGTAATTGGAAGAGGGACTGCCTCTGACATAATCTGATTGGCCTGCTCTTTGATCACCTCCCCCTGAGGGGGGAGCAGCCTTACCAGGCCACAGAAGATGACAATGCAGCCACTTCTGATGAGAACTAATAGTCTAAGATCAGAAAGGAAAGGAGAACCTCCCCTATCAGTGGACTTGGGGAGGGACATGCATGCAGAAAGGGGAGGAAGGGTGGGATCAGGAGGGGAGAAGGGAGGGGCTTATGGGGGGTACAAAATGAATAAAGTGTAATTAATAATAATAATAATTATTAAAAAAAGAAAGAAATTGAAGAAGATGTCAGGAGATGGAAAAACTTCACATGTTCATCGATTGGTAGGATTAATACAGTAAAAATGGCTTTCTTACTTAAAAAAAAAATCTATTCCCCAAAAGCTGAAAATTCATAGAAGAAAATGCATGGGATGAGGTTAAGGAAGATAATAAAAGACAATAAATGTTTGTAAAGAAAAAAAAAAAAGAAACTGGAAAACCTTCCAGTTGGTCCTGGTGTAGTGCCGCCTGTGTCCAGGGTGGATCTTGTACTCGCTGAAATTGCATAGCTCAACCTTCAAAATGATAGCTGCCGGCCTGTCAGAGGAAAGATGTTGAAGAGCGTGAGGTATTTTCATAAACAAATATAGAAATTCCTCTGATAGCTTCTAAAATAATTACGTAAATATCCTTAATTTTATCAGTTGGCAGCACTGCAGTGAAGTCTGATTAAGAATTTAAGTGACAAAAAATATTCTGCAACTATTTCCTGTTACATTTCCTGTTTGTACCTCCAACACCCAGTTTGTCCCCATCTATAACCTGATTATCGCCTAACGCACTCCTCCTCTTCAACAGATCCGGCGTCACTTCAAAGTTCAGTTCTTCAGATCATCTGGGTTTGAAGCACTATATGAGCTTGTTCTTAATGAGAGCGGACCTCCTCCAGATCCCAAGCAGCATCCCAGGATGCAACAGAACACAACATTAGTCCACCTGGAGATGCACAGATAGGTAACAACTGAGGAGCTGCATTCATCAGTCTTGCTAATGAGCTCGCAGCTGGCCTCTCTGGTGTGACACCCTGCTAGCCTTGATCTTTGTGGGGAAGAACCAGTGCTGGGATTCCGTGGATGTCCCCAAATGGATTTAATTAGAATTTTCCAGGATAGAATTAAATGTTCAGTTTTTAGCTTAATGATGATGTTTGGACCATAAACAGCAGATTTCTGCACAGTTGAGGTAATTATGTGGGCAGAGGTGAGAGTGGTAAGAAGTTTCCCAGCCTCTAATGGAATTACTCACCTGAACAGAAAAGTTGCCTTGTTTATATTCGACTACTCCTTATAAATCTGTTTGTGCCTTTTGTTTGTGCCTGTTTGTGCCTGTTTTTTTTCCTCAAACATTAATTTATAGTATTCTTCTTTTCATAAGAAACATTGTTAAAAGGTAGTTGAAGAAAGTCAAAGGAAGATAGATTTCTTCTTTTTTTTTTAACTTTTGGACTTTCTTTTTTTTAAATTAAATTTATTATTATTTTTCTTTTTTCCTTCTTTAATTTTACTTTTAATATTAATTACAGTTTATTTACTTTGTATCCCAACTGTAGCCCTCTCCCTCATTCCCTCCCAATCCCACTCTCCATCCCTCATTTATTTTTTATAATTTATTCACTTTACATCGGTTCGTATCCCCCTCCCTAAGCGGGAGGGGCTGAGCCCTCCCCCCATATCTGACCTCAGCCTATCAAGTCTCATTAGGATTCCTTTTATCTTCTTCTGTGGCCTGGCAATCCCCCTCCAACACATAGACCAGTGGGAAGTGACCAAAGAGAACGCAATAGAGTTCATGTCGGAGACAGCCCCTGTTCCCCTCACTAGGGAACTCACATGGATATTGACTGGAGCAGAAACATTTAAAGAAATGCTCAACATCCTTAGTCATCAGGGAAATGGAAATCAAAACAACTTTGAGATTCCATCTTACACTGATCAGAATGGCTAAGATCAAATAGCCAGAATCTGGAAACAACCTAGATTCCCCTCAACTGAAGAATGAATAAAGAAATTGTGGTACATCCTCACAATGGAATCCTATTTAGCTATTGAAACCAATGAAATTTGCAGGCAAATTGATAGAACTAGAAAAGATCATCCTGAGTGAGGTAACCCAGAATCAGAAAGACACGCATGGTTTATACTCACTTATATGTGGGTATTTGCCATATAATACGGGATAACTATAATAAAATCCACAGACCCAAAGATGCTAAATAACAAGGAGGATCCTAGGGAGGATGCTTAATTCTCATTCAGAAGGGAAAATAGAATAGACACCTGAAGCAGTTGAAGAAAGCCTACCATAGATGTTCTCTGAAAGACTCCATCCAGCAGGGGGATCAAAGTGGATGCTAAGACTCAAAGCCAAACTCTGGGCACAGTGCAGAAAGTCTTACAGAAGAGTGGGAATAGAAGGACCTGGAGGGGACAGGAGCATCATAGGAAGATACATTTCTTAGTCATTGCCTTTCTGATCTCTGTACACAGAAAAAAAAAACATGAGAAATATATTTTAGTGATATTCATTACACTAAAATCACTAAAATATATTTTAGTGGTATTCAAGGTACACAAGGAATCTGGAAAACAAAGCATAGTAATAAAATGAAAATATGATGATTTCAAGCATGCTGATTTTTTCTAGTTAAAATAATGATGAATCAGTTAATCTTTCAAAAACATCCCTCTGATCATTGAAACTTCTCTAGTGTCCAAACTGTGGGTGGAGTATTCTGATCCCTTTTATTCAATCAATGATTGGATGATCTTGCATTTTTAGGAAGTCCTGGATATTAAAATAACTAGATAGAGCAAGAAAAAGACCTGATAATTTCAGTTTTTGAAATATAAAATAGCAGCCATTTCAAAAGGATCAATTTAACAGAATTGCAAACTTAATAAAATAATAAGAAAAATTGGATCATAAAATTTGATAATCATAGCCTTTTATTGTTATTTTTCATTATCATTTATTACAATTTATTCAATTTGTATCCCAGCTGTGGCCCCCTCCCTTGTCTCCTCCCAATCCCACCCTCCCTCCTTCTTCTCCCCTACCCCCCTTCCCTCTTCCACTGATAGGGGAGGTCCTCCTCCCCTTCTATTTGACCCTAGCCTATCAGGTCTCATCAGGACTGGTTGCATTGTCTTCCTCTGTGGCCTGGCAAGGCTGCACCCTTCAGGGGGAGGTGACCAGAGAGCCTGTCACTGAGTTCATGCCAGAGACAGCCTCTTCTCCCATTAGTAGGGAACCCTCTTGGATATTGAGTCTAAATTATAGCCCTTTTATGGCATAAGATCAATACAATCAGTACATAGATGACAACATTACTTTTTTCTTTTTTTGCATTTTTATTAATTATTATTATTTATTACAATTTATTCACTTTGTATCCTGGCTGTGGCCCCCTCCCAAGTCTACTAGGGAACCCACTTGGATAATGAGTCTATGGGCTACATCTACCACAGAGGGCCTCTGAAAGACTCTACTGATCAAGGTATCAAAGCAGAGGCTGAGACTCATAGCCAAACTTTGGGCAGAGTGCAGGGAATCTTATGAAAGAAGGGGTAGATAGAAAGACCTGAAGGGGACAGGAGCTCCAAAAAGAGAACAACAGAGCCAAAAAAAACTGGACCCTTGGGGCCCTGCAGAGAGTGAACCCCAAGGACCATTCAAGGAGAAGACCGAAAACCCCTAAACAGATGTAGCGCATAGACAACATGATTTTTTTACTGTCTCTCCTTCCTAGTTACCAACTGTGTCTTTGCTTAATCCATTATATATGCAGTGTTTCAACTTGGCCAAATGTAAGTATACAGGGTCAAGAACTCTCTTATTCCCTTTTCTTTCTTTGCTTGCTTAAGCCAAAGTCTTACCATATATCCTTGGCTTGACTTTAATTTTCTATGCAGACCAGGCTGGCCTTGAACACACAGAGACCCACTTGCCTCTGCCTCCTGAATATGGGCAACAGTGTGCATCATCATTGGTCTGGCCATATATCATGAAACATTATCTTGAATACTTTTAATCCAATACTTAAGGATCATCTCTTAAGGATGAAAGGATGGAGAGGGGAGTAATGTATAGAAGCTGGCAGGAAATTATTTTCATTTCTTACCTTTTGAATAGCAATACAATTTAAACATCCACATAGCATGAGATTATGATAAATCTCATTCATCATAAGATGACTTGGTAGGTAACATTTAAAGTGGAACTTTAAAGCACGCCCTTTATAAAGGAGCCTTTATAAAGTATACAAGAATTTATAAATTCTATAATTTATAAAGGAGCTATTGCCAAGATTGAGTTCTCAGGAGAAATCCTATAAGATATTTCAGTTAAACCACAGATATAAAATTCAAAGCAATTATACTAGTTTGCCCTCATTTCTGTAGCCAATTACTACAAATGGCAGGCCGGCTTAAACAACAGAAGTGTGTTGCCTCAAAGTTTGGAACATAGATGTCCAAGATCAAGATTGTGGCAGGCTGGTTCAAACTGAGAGCTGTGAAGAAGGCATTTTTCTCATGCCTCTAGTAGTCATTTGTATTCCTTGGCTTGTATAATAAGCATAGCAATAGCGTTGCCTTCAGAACTCTTTCTGTGTGAAGCCTGTGCCTAGATCTTCCCTCTTTCATAAACATAACAGTCTTAGGAGATTAGAGAACTGCCTTCAGTGTTTGCTACATGTACATCCCTGTGGCAAGAACCATGTTGCTTTGAACAATCTGGCAGGGGTCACCTATCCTGGAGCCTTCCTTCTGCCTATGAGCCACTGGATAGGAAACCAGGATGCTATTTGGTATCAAGATGACTCATATGGCCATAATTCCATACTCAACACAGGCTTTCTAGAGGATGTGGTGTGTATACTGACTGTATAGGGGAAAGAGGTAGATGAAAGGCTAAGTGAAGATGTAAAAGCACACTGCAGAGACTCACAAGGCATGTTACTGTTTCCAGCCTTAAACTTGGGACCCTGAGTGCCTTCATGAAGGAGCAATATTCAAGGCTGCTGCTGCAAGCTGCCCATGTGTTAGAACACGTGTCAGTGAAGGAAAGTCCCAACGTTTAAGAGTGCTACTTAATAGTGTAAGCATTTGTACTAGTTACTTTTCTCGTCTCTGGACCAAATGCCTCAGCAGAAATAATTTAGGGAGGAAGCATTTAATTTGGCTTACAGTTTGAGAGGATATAGTCCATCGTGGTGGACAGGGACCTATGGTAGCAGGTGGCCTTGTGTTGGCAGGAAAGAATGGATGGGTCTTTATAAATCTGCTTATGTCTTCCCAGAGCAGAAAACATGGAGATAGGAGTTAGGACAAGGGTATAAAAGCTCAAGACTCACTTCCATTGGTCAACTTCCTTCATCAAGGCTCCACTTCTCAAAGGTTCCACATAGCTTCTCAAACTTGCCCCTAGTAGGGGAACAAGTGTTCAAATGCATGAACCTATGGAGGACACTTCACATCAAAACCATAACAATACTCTCTATTTGTGTATTATTGATGGCTATTTTTTTTTCTGGTAGATGGTGATAAAAGGTTCTAATAAAATGCTTCTGACAAATTTTTGACAAGCTGGAAAAAATTGTCTTGAAGGAACCCTCTTGAAATCCATGGTGGAGTCAGTGCATTCTGAGGCGCAACAGGCTGTATCAGCTTGCATTTTAAGATCTCTCTCTCTCTCTCCTCAGTATTTAGGGAATGGACTGAAAGAAAGAGGAAGTGGTTTTGAGAGAGGCAGCACTGAAGCATCTCTTGCTTCATGCATGTGAAGAAGGACAATGTTTGGATGTGATAGTGTCATGATGGCTAAGGAAAGGTAGATAAGTATGTATCTGCAGACCTTGTTGAACTGAAAACATAAAGACTGATGACTCAAATTATTGGACTTTTACTTGTGGTTTTGATCAGAATGACTCACCAGTTGTTCAGGCTTTCAACCGTTCCTTACAAGTCTTTAGAAATCTTTTGAATTCTTAGTGAAGAATCTCCTTAATAAGATTTGACTTGTTCCCAGACTCTAAAGTGGATCTCCTAGTGTTATGTTTCCATGGTCTTGGCCTTTCCCCAGACTGCTGTCATACAGTTGCTGTCTGTTGCATGCTCAGTTCACATTTGCTCATTCTAATTTTCACCTTTTTCCACCTGCATGAGCTGCTTTGGTTGATTGCATCCTCCCCTTTCCATGTCCTGAGAAACCCAAGGTTCTCATTTTCCATAGAAAATCATTTGGTTAATCAAGTATCAGGAGGTCTTCAATTCCTTTAAAAATTTTTGTTTGTTGTGTCTGTAATGTCATTGCCTTCTAATCCGCTGCCATTTCTTTTCTTTATCATTAATAACAATGTTGAATATTTAATAATGTCACACTCACTCATAGGACTTAGGACATAAACTCTTGTGTGCATGCATACACATGCTTACAGGCCTTATAACTAGAATCACTGCTCTCCTTTAGAAAAATTATTTATTATGGGTATTCGTTACCATCCAATTCTGAATAAGTCTACTAAGCGCAACTTATGTACATTCATATGTTGGGTTACTAATTATTTTCTTCGTTAAATGTATAATTGAATAAAAATTCACCTAAATACTTGAAGTCTACTATTTTCTATTTTATTAACAATATATTACTTTCTGTACATATTTTAATTTTAATAAATTTTAAAATCATACATATCATCTGACTTTTAGTTTTTATTCAAGAATAGAGGAGAGCAAATAAATTACACCCCTAATACATTTTGACTGATTGACAAACAGAACTAATCTACAAATTCTGGTGAACTGTTTGCTGGTGATTACATTTGATGCATGATACTGTGGCTTTTAAGTACCTGTCACCGACTGTTCCATATTTGGTGTGTTCATTGCAACATGTGTTAGTTAGGACTGCATGAAAGAACTAAAAATTAAGAAGAGTAGGCTCTCTGCTTAACAGACGTTTAGAAGGTTGTAACATAATAAACAAGTAAAATTATAAGCATTTAGTATCTCTGAGCTTTCAACTGCACATATTTCCTCGTCATGGACTGTTATATTTTGCTACTAGAGAGGATCATGGCTTCCATATTCTGTCTACTATTCTCCATGATGTCTTTGTACATGCAGGCATCAAAGATTGTCAGCTGTTTATGTAGGAATACATGTGTCATACAAACAGATGTAAGTGTGGGTAAAGCCTAGAAAATTAGGAGACCAAAAGAGGGTAATAGCAGGTGATGAGGAAGGATAAGGAATGGATAAAAGGACACTTGGTGCACAGAAAAGGAAAAGAGACTAAGAAGGAGACAGGTTATAAAAGGTGTGGTCAAGGGTAGGCGTGGGGAGGTGGAGAGAAGGATACACTTGGCTCAAAATGTCATAATGGTATCTAACACTGGACAAAGGGATGGGAGGATGATAAGACAGGGAGAGTAGGACAGCAACCAGAATGTGCTTTATGTAACATGTGAAGTGGTTAAAGAACAAATCAAATAAAAGACTTAAAAATAACAAAGCGATGCATAAAAAGATCCTATTTAATTTATGGTTCTCTGCAGGGAACTCTGGGCAGTGAGAGAATAACTGCATTATAGGATTTGGGGATTATATATAAGCTTTTATGATGAATTGCTGCCTTATTTCCATTTTTGGGATTTGATGAATATACTATAGTTATCTACCTGAATGAGTAAACTTAACATTTTGACCTCTCTCTGCCTCTCCTCTCTCTCTTTTCACATAAGATGTTGATGCCAAGAGATTTGTATGTCAGAGACTTTGTAGTATTAGTTTGCAAGGAAATTTCTCATGATGTAATTTACTGGGACAGTGACAACAATGCATCAAGAATTTATGATTCAGTAGGTTTCAGAAAGCAAAAAGAATCATATTGTAGAAAAGACTTAAAAATGAACTAGAATCCTGGCTCAGGGCTCAAGGGAAGGGTGATAGGAAAACCAGGCCAGAATGAATTATTGGACAAGGGAGAGTGCAAAGGTCAAGAGAAGTTATCAGATACAGGGGCACAGTGAGATATCTAGGAAGTGCCTGAGTCAATAGCTAGATCTAGGAGGTTCAAAGATCAGAGACAGATAATCAGAGCCAGTTCTAAAGGATTAGGACCAGGCCAGAGCATTGAAGGGATGGACTTGTACATGTTTCTGGGGAACCTTTACTGTCCTGAGTGTCTCTGGTTGAGGAGTTGAGAGTTGAAAGATTTTGTGAGTAATATGTGGATGACATTGGACAGATAGTACTAGACCCTACACAGTTTCCAGCACCGCATAAACCCAGGAGGTGACTCACCCCTGCAAATCCAGCACTGAGGAGACAGAGGCAGGGGTATCACAGGCTCAAGGATATCCTGGACTACTCAGCAAATTCAAGGATGGCCTGAACTCAATGAAAGACAAAACCAAATGAACACACACACACACACACACACACGAAACAAGTTTCATAGAGTCTATTATATTTTCAAAGGAAATTCAAAAATCTCTATGTACTCCTGTATTTTTAAGTTCCCCTAAGAGCCAAAAAATATGTATGAGTGATTAATAAATTCCAATGTCTAGAAAATGAAAGGAAACTTTATGATGCTGTATTGATAAAGCATCACACCACATTACCTAAGGGTAATTTAACTTCTGAACAAGGTATGGCATTGATTTTTCCATGTGGTAAATGAACCTTTTGTGCACAGATTATCTCCACTTCTGAACATTTCTGTAGCTCATGGTGGGTAATTAAATCATATAAAATTACCAGGACATTGGAAGAGAAATCAACTACCATAAAAATTACTGTGTGTTAAATGTTTCTACAGAAATTTATTTCAGTCAGTTTATTTATAACCAAAGGCATTAAAAAAAATCCACTAATTTCACTAGATGTTATTTGGAGACTAAATGCAAAAATCTTAGTATGGAAGACACTGCCAAAAAATCACAAATTTCCATTACAAGAAACATTTAAGTCTATATTTTATAGACTTATTTCATATTATAGCACCACAAAGTACTTATATATATACGAAGAATTCAGTTCCTTTAAAGTAATATTTGCCAGACAAATTAATCTTCCTGCCTAATTATGTTAAACATTTATATTTTTAATGAAAAATTGGTCCAATATAAATGGAAGTTTTTGTCAAAACGTATTATATATCTTTGGTCATTTAATAGTGCTCCAAAGTATTAAAGTAGTCACCAATATCAGAAACAAATCTGGCAGATCACAATAATTAAACATTGTAATTAGATATCATGCATTTACAGAAAAATAATATAGACATTAAATTTAATTCCATGAATTTTATCAGCATTTTTCCTAAAACTTCAGATGTATGTATCCTCATCTGTACACACACAGAGAACGCACAATATTATCATGACATGCTGTTGAGACAGAAGGGCTGGTAAACTTCCAAGAGCTTTGATTTATCCCTGTGATGGACCTGAGCTAATCAAGAGTCAGACAAGAAAGAATATATACATATATCAGTCTTATGAGTATTTCTAAGAGATTTCAAAGACCACAGATGCAAATATGGTAAACATTTCCAACAAGAACTTAAATGGCTTATTTGTCCCCTAGTTTTTCCTGTGTATCCTGCTGAGGTGAATACCTTGCCCAATATTTATAAATAAAGAAAATTGTAGTAAATAGAGTTTTCATTTAAAGGCCAGACCAATTCTGTTCTTATTTTATTGTGAAGTTGTTTTTTTTCACCAAGATTTAAGTGAAGGGAAAATTGAAAGTGAAATAAAGATAATTGATATAAATAGCATAGAAAAGGAGAGAACAAGAAGACTGCTTTAGGCTACTAATTAAAAGGGACAAGATAATTTGAAACGGGTGTGGATTTAAGTATAAAATGAAAAGAATATAATAAATTATTCTTGATGAAAATTAAGACTGCTCTTAGCAGTAATTCTTATATTAAAATGTAAGTATGACTCTAATTAAAATAATACCCAACAATTGTCAAGTAGAAATATGCTTGTGGAATTAGCATATTAACAAGCCTCATATTTTTCCAAAGTGTACTTCTACCATTATTCTAGACACAGGCAAACACATTTAATAGTATTTAGATCCAATTAGAAACAGGGTGTTTTATTCTGAAACTATTTAAAGTTTTTTCCCAGGCACATGTAATTTTCACAACCCTGGTTATAAAACTAGCCCTTGTAGCATCAGCTTTAAACACAGGCAATCACCCTACCATGCAGCACTGTTGTTAGTTTCTGCAAGACAAAGCAAGGAAGCAATGCGGTATAGTCACCTTAATGAGTATCATAGCGGTTTGTGCTAGTGGATATCAAAAGATACTTTCAGTAAGAAAAGACCTAGCATCTTGAAGTAACAGCCCTCGATGTAGATGCTATGTCCTCTCAAATATGATCAAACTCCTGTGAGGTATATTTGTTATTGTAGTTTTGCACATAAGAGCAAGAGAGATGGCTCAGCAGGTAAAGACACTTGTTGTCCCGTCTTATGACTTGAGAGCCATCTCTAGGGTCCCATAGTGTGGAAAGACAGGGCTGACTACAAATTGTCCTCTGACCTCCCCACACTGTGGACACACACACACAGTAAATAAACAAAAAAAAATCTCACACTTTTATAAACAAGAAAACTTAAGCTTCCAAAGCTTTTGTAACATTTGCACCGACCATAATTGGTGTATGGTAATAAGAGAATCCATATAACAGAATTTGCCTTCTGAACAAACAACCACTGGAGAGGTTTGCTATATTTTCAGCTCTTTAAACTACTGATATCGAGAAAAAACAGTGAGTAAATGAACACCTAAGCTTACTAATCAGTTACCGAAGCTACAAAAATTAATGAGAAAAGTTGATGTTATTAAAAATTATTTCTCATCACATATAAGAATGATTATAGAAAATTTAGAAATAAAGCAAATATATATATAAGACCACTACAATGCTGGTGTGATGCCTAAAAATTTAGTCAATATTTTTGTGCATACTTAACAGGCTCTCAAGTTCTGTCACTGTAAATGACGTCACAGTAAATAAAACCTTGTACTTAAAATTTACCAGGAAGAATTTCAGAAATTAAGTTACAGTTTAAAAACATATGCATACATGTAGAATTGTGATAAATTGAGTCAAGTTGTCTTATGTGTGTTTAGTATTAGTAAGTACGTGTGTGCATGCATGGAGTATGGTAAGTATGTGTGTGCATGCCACAGTGCCTGTGTGGAGGGCAGAGGACAACCTTGTGGAGGTGGGTATCATTTATACCACGTGGGTCCTGGTGAACTCAGGTGCCTAGGCTTGGTGACTTGCTTTGACCCTCTGAACCACACAAGCCCCCTCATCCCCACCTCCACCTACTTTATGAGAGAGCCTCACCCTTTTGTGTACACCAAAGCAGTGAGTTTGGTCCATAGGTCTGCTACTCTCCTTCATCACCTGAATCAGTCTGGCTTGTAATTAATTTTTAAGTTAGCATATTAAGTCGCGAGTTAACATTATGGGATTTCATATGTAAAGCTCATCACATATCGGTATAATCCATCCAGCCTCATCCACTATACTCTCTTCTCTTGCTGGGACCTTGTAGTTGCCTTTCATTTACAATCTCTAAACACACAGTTTAGCATGTTGGTCTGCTCACTGCATTCTTAGATTCAACCTACAAATGTATGAATTAACCAAGTCCTTAGGTCTCCTCAGCAACATTTGGTCAACTTAATTTCTCTCCAGTATAATGTGATTAGATTTTCACTGTGTTCTAATAAGACTCTGATCCTGCATTAGGTGAGAAGAGTTCAAAGATACATAAACCTGAACTGGGTTTAAACTGACATTTTTCTTGAGGACAGGTCTTTAAACAAATAACTACTATAATGT